AGGAAACACACAGCTATACTGAGAAGCATAAAACATGCTGGTGTCATTTATGTGTGACAGATGTAACGTCTTCATACTTATAGATAAAACAACGTAGAAACCTTTCTGATGAGCAGAAGGTCTGGATGTGAGGATGGAGAACGCTCTGCTCTGCATGCTGGGATTTTTCTGTAAGTTCATCACTGACTTCATGTTCAATGATCAAAATGTTTCTGTAAGATGGAATTAGAGTTTAACACAGTTTGATCTGTTTCTCTGTCACCTTGACAAGAAGCGATGTGTGTTTTCTATGATTAACTTTACATGTTGTCTTGGTGTTGTTTTATAAATGCTTTTTTACATGAAGTCTTTTTGGTATTACATTTTTTATCTCTGACTTTATTTCTAAAACCAAACCATTTTTACCTGAAATGTCGCTAAAGTTAAAATATATTTGTTTTAAGTTTAATCATGTCTGATCAGCTTCTGCTCTTCATTGCAGTTCTCAGTAATCTCATCTATGTAAATGCTGAAGGTGAGAATCAGTTTTTCTTGTTTGTTTTTCATTCAGTTTATGATAAATATATAATTAACCACCAACTTTTTATGCATTTTAAATTAAATATAATTTTTTTTCAGTTTTATTTGAAAGCTAGTTAGACTAATTGAAAAACAGTGCATCGATTTGTGTTGAAATAAATATCTTTATGTACAAAATATTAACAGTAGATGAATATTTTTCTCTCTCTTTGATCATCTCAACATATCTGAGTGAATCAGGAAATAAAGACGATAATCAGGAAAGAGACACAGAAACAAGTCAGTAACTTTCTGCTTTCAAGATCAAACTGTCTAATGTATTTAATGGCTGCCTCAGCATCTTACATTATCATATGAAGTTACCATGTTTATTAGATGTTTATGTGTTTAAAACTGAAAATTCACATGAGAGGAAACTTAAAGAGGAGAAAGATTTGTGCTTTTCTGTAAAAGTTGAAATGTTTTCTCTCTTTAGCGCCATCTGCTGTCTGTGATGTGAAGGCAAAAAGTTCATGTGGACAAAGTTACTTCCCTTTTCTTTACGCTGACATTTATTAATCTCACTATCAGTCAGTCAGACTTTATGATTTATAATCATGCAGTTTTTTTAGAAAATTAGTCTGACTATTATTTCTTACATTTACAACAAATATCACTGGATCTTTTATTTTCTTCTGTCTAAACAGTTTATTTTCACAGGGAAATCTGAAAAGTTTTTTTAGTGATTCTACTTTCTAATGGGGCCTTAAAAACAAACATGACTAAAACACATCCAGTGATTTATTCTTGGTTTCTGTAAGTCAGTATTGATCTGGATCAATGGACAGATTGTCTTTAAGTTGCAGATATTTATTTTTTGAGCTAATGGATCCCCTGGCATATTTGGTAGAGCTGTTGCCTTGCAGCAAGAAGGTTCTGGGTTCAGTTCCCAGCCTGGGGTCCTTTACATGTTCTCCCTGTGAATGTTGGGTTCTCTCCAGGTACTCTGGTTTCCTCCCACAGTCCAAGAACATGACTGTCAGGTTAATTAGTCTCTTTAAATTGTCTTCAGCTGTGAGGATCCTGGCTAAATAACTACTGTACACCCTGATGATGATTATCTGTATTTAATAGTGTAAATTTAATTAATTCCAGTTTCTCCAGACCACAGACAGACATTTGCAACTCCAATCATTTGATGATTTGGCAGATTTTAATATTTTTTTAACTGATTCAGGTGATACAAAGGAAACAACTACACTGACCTCAGATACAAACTTCATGCAGCCCATTGGTACAAAATATACATTTTTATGTTTAAATATTTTTGAATGATTATATTCTTTTTATTTCTGTATCATCTGTGATTACTTTTTGTCTTTCAAAATGAACTTAATTTCTGTTTCATCATATTTACCCTTGGACACAATAAATGTTTGCTATTTGACATGGCAGGAAAAGTTTTATATGTCACATTTCTAATAAGAGATTCTTTATGTGAACAGCTTCCATTAAACCCACTGTGACCTGGAAACACAACTGGTCTGAGATATTCAGTGGAGAGACGGTCACTCTGACATGTGAGATCAGAGGAGGAGGAACTGAGTGGACGTATGAATGGAGAATAAATGACCAAGTCTACCGAGCATTCAGTGAATCCATACCAATAACAGCTGACAGTAGAAGATTCAACTGCAGAGGAACAAATAACTACGGATCAACACAATGGAGTGATTTTTACTCATTACCTGTTTGTAAGTAATCTGTTATTGACATGAAGTGGCTATTTAAAATGTTTCATCAAGTCATTTTGTATAATTCTGGATTGAAGACAAATTTCCTGTTAAAGAAACAGTAAAGTGGAGTATTAGACAAACCTTTTGACACAATAATAAATAAACACAATAAATAAATAAATCAGTAGTGAAATTCATTGGAAAGGCTGTAGGAACTTTGAAAACAACGACTTTTAAAGATGAAAGAAAGTTTAAATATTTGAA